CTCAATTATCAGCTCTGTTCTGGGAAAAATAATTAATACACTAATGTTCACGCAACATCCTATTATTCCTAAAAAAAAAACACCCCAAAAAACAAAACAAAATAACAACTAATAAATAAGTTAGTTTATAAAACAGACATGGTGAGAGTACTTGAAGGCAATAGCCATTAGATGTGTAATTCAGATGATGTGTAAGTAAATAAATAAATAAAATATGCCTAATGGATTTTAGAGTTTCGTAAATACAATTTAAGATGTGGGATAAATTAAAATTCGTTTGGAGAGTATGGCTTTTCTTAACTTGTATAGTTTTCTATTCACCCTGCCGATCTATACAATTCCACTTCAGAATCTAAATCGTTAATTTTTATGACCATTTTCACTATTTTTAATATCCTTAATTGAATTTGGCTCACTATCTTCAACTAAAAATAGGCGCACTGGAACTCAGTTTACTGCAAGCTTCGTTATTCTAGAATGGGGACGGAGCGTAATGTCGGCTACACGTGCTTTGATTGTATTGAATGTAAAAGATTCATCACACTACTCAGCCTTCAACAAACACGCCTATAACCGTTAGGCCTACTTCCTGTTAATACCATCCCAAAATACACCCACATGGATAAATCTTACACATTATTTCTCAAGCATACTAAAGCTTTGTCCACACTATAATTTTTTTTGGTAGACAAAAAAGCTATTGTATGCCTATATATAGTCATATGTGCCTTTATATGGTCATGAGGTGATGTCATCAAGATCATTTAGGCATGTCCCATCATGTTTTTAGCAAATTAAATTTAAATTGACAAAAAATTGCCATATGCTAGGTATAAAATGTATACCACGCTGGTACAAAAGGCATTTCGCTCAATATTCGCCTTAAGCCATCATTTTTGGATGTGTGGACATTTATAAAATGACGTGCCAGTATTATTATTTTTCACTGATTCACTGATCTGCAAATGTGCGCACGCTCCAACGCTCATGGCCAATCAGAATCCTTCTGACAAAATGCTATCGAAGTGTCACAATTAATTTCTTTATTTAATTTCAAAGTAAAACGTTAACGAAAACCATGATAATCATTTGTTTCCTAATGCCTTCGGTGAGGTCCGGGTTGACATCTGAGGTACAGCTAATGAAAAAATATTTCTGCTAGTACGTTGCCGCTTAACTCATATTATACAGGCCTAATCGGGCGAGCTCATCAAGATTTATACTTAGTCACAAATGGTAAAGTATTGCTATATTTTTATGTTGTATTCGCCTTATCAGGATACTGTGACTTGAAGCCAAGTAAGAATCCCTTTGGATAATTTCAGTGCACGTTATGAAATACACACTCGTTCAATCCAAAGATTGTTTTTAGAGAAGTTCGGTTAAACAAAGAGGAAGCTGCGAGTGCGAAAAAAAAATTACTTAACCGGGACTCGAGCCCGTTACTTCCTGCTGTTTTTAGACACCTTAACCAATTGGGCCATTGATGCGTTCATTAAAATCCGATCGGAGGTAATTCATTTCTCACTTTACGGTGTGCCAATACAACACTAGTATTTGATGCACACACTTTAAACAGAGATCAGTGTGATACGCCCGGCTCTTCCTAGCATAACTCTAAATCGTCTAGTTCATTACACTAGTAAAATGAAATTTAATGGTAAAACATTTAATTGGACTGTTTAAACATTTTTGAAGGCTGTAAATGAAGTAGGTAAAGTATGAATAATTATATTGTGGTGAGGCTATTCCATATATTTTATATACATTTTTTTTAACTAAAGATCCAAAATTCAGCGTAGAAACAGACCATTTTATGTGAGCCAAGGCTTGGTGATGAGAAGTCACCAGGTTTTGATAAAAGTATCAGACGAAAAGGTTGTTAGCTTAGTATTTTTTTTAAATAAATATAACATGTATTATTTACTTTAGCTAAAAAAGTGTTTTGTCTTTGTCTGTAGACTGGATCTTTGCTGAGTGCATTAGCCCATGTACTCCGGCTTACAGGTGGATAATGCATCTGTAGATTCCCTTTTTTGATTTCCACGATAGTTCTCCGTCGGAAGAGAGGCTAAAACAATACCCAGTGGTACTTTTTCGATCATCAACATTTTGAATCACGAAAGCATAAGTTTAGTGGAGAACTACTCTTTAGAAAAATAAACTTTTATCCTATTGTACCCTTTATGTATACATGTTTGTTGTCACCATTATGTTCACCTCTAGGGTCAGAAAGATGCTGGGCCGGTTTACTCAATACAACACTAGTATTTGATGCACACACTTTAAACAGAGATCAGTGTGATACGCCCGGCTCTTCCTAGCATAACTCTAAATCGTCTAGTTCATTACACTAGTAAAATGAAATTTAATGGTAAAACATTTAATTGGACTGTTTAAACATTTTTGAAGGCTGTAAATGAAGTAGGTAAAGTATGAATAATTATATTGTGGTGAGGCTATTCCATATATTTTATATACATTTTTTTATAGTCAGTATTTGGTATAGGAATGAATATTTTTGTATGTCGAAGATGATACCGTTTAAGAAAAAACAATTGTAAATAAATTAGTGGCAAAGCGTAAAGGTAAATGTAGGAGAATAATCCTTTTTATTAAAATTTGGCACTTAAACTAAAGATCCAAAATTCAGCGTAGAAATAGACCATTTTATGTGAGCCAAGGCTTGGTGATGAGAAGTCACCAGGTTTTGATAAAAGTATCAGACGAAAAGGTTGTTAGCTTAGTATTTTTTTAAAATAAATATAACATGATAATGTCATAAAAAATATGTTTTCTGGTAATTTTTGGGTCACAAAATTAACATAATATGTCATCATCATTTGATAAGTGAGTTTTATAGCTGTCGTGTGACAGCAAGTATATCAGATTGGATCTTTAAGTAACGTACTAGCTTCAAAATACCATTTTGGGGTAAAAATAAGTGTAAGATTTTCCTTTTTTTTTTGCGAGAGATGATCTTTGACATACTATATTACTCCGAAATACAAAATAGATAATGTCTGATTTTATTAATAAAACAATTATTATTGTATTTAGCCAAAGAAAGTCATAAAAAATTTATTTGGTAAATTTTGGGTAACAGGATTAACATAATGTATCATCATATACACCATTCGATAGATATTTTTTTACCAGCTTTTGTATGATACCAACATATTCCAATTGAATTTTCCAGTGATGGACTAGCTTCAAATTACAATTTTTGGGTAAAAGCATGTAATATTTGCTATTTTGGGTCAAATTTGGCACACACTAAATCTAAAATTCAGCGTGGCCAAAGCCCATTCCGTGTGAGCCAAGAGCTGGTGTGATGAGGATTCACCTTATTGCCAGCTTGTAACAAATGATGTCTACGGAAAAAAAAATTGTTGAGCACTTTTAATCTGATGGCCACCCGTCTATAAATAGCTACATGTTCACATCATTCCACAATAACAGGGTCTGAAATGAACCATAACATCGGGGCAACACCCTACTCTCCCAAAATGTATGCACTTGAGTCAGGTGTACACCGGACCACCATTTTAAGTCCTTATCCGAAAAGACTTGGTTCCACCATGGAGTTATCAATAATATACCTCCATGATAATACTTCCATGTTTCTACCAACCGAACCATTGCGAAGACCGGCTGGTGGAACCAGTTCCGAAGGCTGTAGTGTGGCACCCCTGCCTTACCGCTCGGCCACTCGACAATTTAATAGGCAAATGGGATAAACAGCATGTCGCAGCCCGCTATTTTCTTACAGCTGAAAAGGGGACATTTTGTGTTGAATGGCTGTGCTTGATCATTTGTTACTATATTAGCATTGTTATAATATTTATATTATATATATTTACATAACAACGTGTCGAATAATTCACACGGTAAGCGAAAGGTCCGGGTTCGAGTCCCGGTGGAGACAAGGTTTCTTTTTTCATTCTGATCAGATTTTTCTCTTCTGTTACGTTTAAATTATATATATATATATATATATAATTTGGAAAATTGTCGGGTGGGTCCGCCAAAACCATGTCTCTAATAGAGGGAATTGCTACAGAACTAAGAAATGTTGAAACTGACGAAAACTGTCTCAGTGATTTGTAAATATTAGTTTTAAGAATTTATTTCAGCAATAAACCTTTGCAAAAAAGGAAGTCACAAGGGGCGACAATATCAGAAATGAATTACTGAAAAACGGATGTAATGGTAGGTACAAGTTAATGTACATATTATTTACTTGTATCATTGAGTTTTCATCAGTGCCACGTAAGTGCCATACTACTTGACGACTTGTCAAGATAATTTATCTTGTCAAGTCGACATAATATCCATATCATGTCGACATCATACACAGATAAGTTTTTCAGCCATGTCGAATTATCAACTTTCAAAAATTGCCATGGTGAGATACATTTTCTTGTCAAGTTGACTTTACGAAAATTACGTGTCTTTATGGCGATATAGATTATCTTGCCAAGTCGGCATAGTAAAAAATTTATGTTGTCATGGCGAGATACATTATCTTGCCAAGTTGACTCCACAAAAAAGACATGTCGTCATGGTTGACAAGTTGACAAGTTCCAGAAACGTACATGTCGTCATGGTCATTGTCATCATCATCATCATCATTATTATTATTATTATTATTATTATTATTATTATTATTATTATTATTATTATTATTATTATTATTATCATTA